ATCAAGGAAACGTCGTAATGCTTTAATTAATCACAATTGAGGGACTAAAAATAAAAACAAGTAAGTTACTGCCACGAAAAGCAGAAAATACTTCTTGATATTAAAATATGAATCGAAATTAGGTACTTTTTAAAAGTATCCTGCTATCTTATGTAAACATTTAAACCTTTCAAAAATGCTGAACTGTTTCCAATATTTAAGCATTATAGCAAAAATCAGATAAGTTTATTCAAGTTTCGTTCACTGAGAGAACAATGATGAGAAATTATAACTATTTATAACATAATATTAACTAATAATGTAAAAAATTAGATATGTACTCCTTTTCCGCACTTTTATAAACTTTTCGATTTAAACAAAAATCATGATCAAACTCCATGTATATGTGCCCTAGCTCTAAAACATTATTATCAATAGTTTCTATGCTGAAATTTATTGAAAGGAATATCCAAAACATAACTATTTATAATAATGTTTTGACTCCTCCATGAATCACTGACTGCAGTCACATGACGTGATGTACTGGTAAGACTTTGACAGAATCATTTTAAACAAGACCCAATCTCTTAACTCTCCTGATACTGTATTTTTATTCCCACAACCAAACATTGTAAATGTTCAACTTTTTACGTGTAAGTTTTCATAAATACTGTCAAAAATGCAAATTCTGTATTTCATCACTATTACACTAACCAGCTTTTGGTTCAGTGCGCCTCAATTGTTATGCTTCTTAAAATTTAAAATACTTCATTCACATAAAATACTTTATTTCGAATAACACATTGTAATTGAAGAACTTAAAAATATATTTAAAAAATTGAACTTTATGAAATAAACAACTAAAATCTCCGATCAATCGACGAGAGATTAAGCAAATAGAAAACCTTTTGGCGTCGCAAACCCTAATTCATTTGGAACAATGTAGACATTTCATTAAATGATTCGTTAAAGCAGTCACGACGACAGCCCTGAGTATCGCCCCATTTCACCCATTAAAGGTCATGAAAATGTCACGCCGTTCCACAGGCGCGGCGCCAGCCAGATCCAACGATATGGCTGGCGCCTGCATGGCGGAGGCATGGCGACGTACTTCTTGCCTCAGACGTTTAGCGTCAGAGCTCGACTTTACAGAGAAAATACATATGGCAGAATGTCTATAATACTTGCCAAGAACTTGTTTGAATTGTCTATGGAAATAACAGTGGCGTCCCGTGGTGTAGCTGTCAAACTGTTCGCCTTCTGGCTGGAACTGGGATTCAAATGTCTGTCAATCTACATGGAAGCTGATCCGGTGACCGAGGTCGCTATGGCAGGAGTGCCGTAGCGATCTCTGACCGAAGGATCGCGGGTCCGAGTCCCGCCTCGGGCATGGATGTATTTGTGTTCGTCCTTTCACCCCTTATCATCATCACATTATGTCATCTTCACAGTTACCATAACGTTCAATGTAATAGTGGTAGCTAATGACCTAGATGGTAATGTGACCTTAAATAACAAAAACAAATCTACGTTGAACTTGTGGCGGACAAAACTGGTTTGCAGTTGATATTTTCGGGGTTATCCTATTTCCACTGACTCCTGTTCCGTCATTGTTTCATCGTTATTTACACCATAACTTCATAATAACCTATCATCCAATTCATTCATCCATTTCCCGGTACGACCATGAGGCTTAGACACATACAATATAATTTATATCCAAATAACGTTAATAGAGAGAGATTACAAAACAGAACCTTCAAAATACTACGGAAATGAAAGTCCGTAGGTTTGTGGCAAAAATAGAACATAGTGATTCAAGTATGGAACAGGGTCCATTACAATAGGAGTGTGAAAGTGTGATCAGTACAACCATAGGAACAACGTTGCAAATAGTACTATCACTGCAATATGTGGTACATACTTGCGTTGCACTACAATACGAAAATAAAAAAAAATAGCGTTCACAACGTAAACTAATTTTGCTTCAAAGCTGACTGATCTTCATAACTTTTCACAGAATAATATGAAATATATTTGCCGCTCCAGCGCGGAAGGGTAAATTTCTCACACAAAATAGTTTTATATTGCATCGAATGGTTTCACCGCAACGAAGTTTGGAAAATATTCTTTGCCGCATGTATTTTGTGGAAAAGCTTTCTTTGGATGTTAGAATGAAACAGTTAACGCGTGCGTATTCAAGAAATATGCTAAGTACAGTTGATTTTGCAATTGAGTTTCCAATGTCAGCAACTAATTCAGAGCCTAAGTTTGCCGATTTTAATTAAAGACATTGGTGATTCCTTGATTGTCATAGATATTTATACTTGTATATATTATTATGTCTCTAGCTTCGTGGCTAACTTCGTTTCACGTGTAACGTTAGGGTTATGGGTTTCTCAGGCCACGTGTGAAACCATCTCGCCAAACGCAGTCCTGCTGTTTACTCCGCGGCGTTGCCAGTTCTCGAAACGTCACCCTTCCGGATTTCCAAACGAACTATTTATTCCGCAGCAGCGGTCAGAAGGCAAACCGAAATCCTCACATCAAACTGAACCTCAAGAGATATTTCCAGAAGCCGGAAAACTCATAACGTTATCTAAACATTCGCTCTGCCCCTCCATTCACTTTCATTTTTAAAGGGACCAAAGCTGAGTATACAACCTCCGGGAGACAGCGTGTGCATTCACAGCAGGCATCTTCAGAGGTAAATCGCAGGTTCTTGTTGGCGTAAGAAATGGGATATACGAGGATAAGCATTTCGAAGAATTGTGAAATTTAATTTGAAAACCGACCCACTTTTGTGTGGTAGTGCGAAACACAGAATTAGCAATGGAGAGAGATTAATAGTAACAGTGATAACAACATAGTTAAAATGATAATAATAATCTAATGATGTGCGCCACTCTTAGTAAAAGTTTAAGATTAAACAGAATTAACGATTAAAATAAACGAAATATATTCTGATTTTTCTAAAACCAAACAACTATGGTCTCTGTACTGCAGCGCAAAAGGTTATTAACTAATATTTACCCACTAATAAAGTAATGTAAGTTCGTAAACGGAGAGAAGTGAAAGTGCTTCTGAGGAACACGTAATAAGTCATTTCAGGAACTAATTGTTTGAAAAATTGGTATCTTTAATAAACGATTTAGGAGATACATGTGCAATTTTTATAACTATCCTTTTAGTTCAATTCTTACGATTTAATGGGACTCTTAGCCATGTTACAAATCAAACTCTGCTTTGTTGTAGCAGAAATAGTAAAGTAATAGTTTGTGCGAAATAACGGCTCTGTCACCATTTGCGTACAACAAAGGAGCGCTATTCTGGAGTGTAGTTTTCATCAAACATTGTGAATGCTGAATTGTGTAAAAGAAACCATGAGTCTTCTTTACAACGTGTTCAATTTATACTTTTTGGGTTTGAATTACCACTGAAATGTTCGTTAGAATGTCTAAATTCTTAAGAGAAATAAGATCCGTGGGGAGTGACACATCTTTATAATCGTGATAGAATCGAGTTTGTATTACAGGGGATAGAGGGAATGGAGAAGAGTAAACTACATGTGTTACATAGTAATGACCTAATTACAAGAGGCAATGGCGTGCGGTGAACCCATTCAAGCCACGTGCTGCGCCAATGAAAGAAGTTCCGTTGAACCGGCGCCCTCCGCAACTGCTACCGCCTCCCAGCACAACTTCTCGCTCTCATGAAGGACAGACCGAGCGCACGAGCCAGAATAACACTCTCTGCCTGCATAGCTAGTCCGCTAAGATGGATGCAATGGACGAGGAAAGTGGTTACAAGAGAATAGTGAGTGAGTGAGTATTTAGTTCTCCTGGTGTTTAACCAAGAGTTGATTACCGTGCTCGCTTTCCACGGCGCAACTCCCGGTTCAAGTCCCGGCCGAGCACGCCTGCCGGGTCTCGAACTGCGCGTTTTCCTTACAAATACCCCAATATCAATTGATGTGTGACAATGATAAACCTACACGTATGTTTCTGGGAGTTCCCTTTCGAGGTATCTACACAAACCGGTTACCGCCCCCAGCCGGATGTGCTCTAAGCCACAGAACAATAAAGGATAGAAGTGCACTCTCAATGTTAAACGTATTGTGTGTTAAACGCTCAATGTTAAACGCTCTAAGCTCCCGACTGGTCTATCGACATGTGTGGCAATGTATTGCACATGAATGCAAGTGTGTGTGTGTGTGTGTGAGTGTATGTGCGTGTATGTGTTTGTACGGAGAGAGAAAGGGGCAAGGATGAGGACGGGAAGGTCATGCACGGTGCGTTTGGTAAGGTACAACCCTGGATATGATAGGAGAAACCATGAAACACTACCGATCAGAGCAACCACCAACTATAATTCTTTTCCACTCGATAAATTCAGTCTAGTTCAATAACTAAATAACTAATTCTAAATTCCGCCACTACTAAAAACTGAGGTGGAAACAACACGTGAAAATAACTGCAAATACTTTGATGGTAGGTATAAGAGAATACATTGGCTGCTTGGATGTCAATCTCAGATGTAAATATAGAACAAACTTTTCATATATCTACAAGTTCTGAACTTGTGTGGACCTACAGAGCTAAGCAATGGGGTTTTAAGAAGATGCACATCAGAGCTATACAAAAGTTTCAGAACAAAATATTGCCCTTGTCCTTAAATATCAAGACACTCGATGAAGTAATAGACGAACATGTTACAAACCATCACGAAAAACTTCGAAAGCGTCCGAATACCCCACAATCGCAAATCATTGTCACTAGAAGGATTGCAAAACTGTTGAAGAGGAGAATGCACATGGATCTTGTAAATAATGGAATTTCAATTTTTGAAATAGTGTTTAGTAAAGCTTTCGAAAGGTCAATGAATTCCTTGATCTGAAACTTCTTTAACTACTTATAAATACTTGTTACATTTATCTAAATATAGCTGTGTTAAATAAATTTTGTAATACAATATCCATATAATGACGAAAGAGCTCAAAAGGTATGTTATTGTGTAGTATTTTATCGTTTGGATGACACCGACTCTTTTTTATAATAGTTGAACTCCACACGACAGTGACCATGTAGCACCTTCTCAGTGAGCTTGCGCGGAGGTTGCTTGGCAAGACGTGGAGCGCGCCAAATGTTCGTCCCGCATTTCAAGCGGTGCGGCGCGGCGGCGGCGGCGTTCACACGCACGCGGGCCCGCCCAGGGCGGCACCAGGCGGCGGTGGCGGCGGCGGTGGCGGTGGCGGCGGGCGGCGGCGAAGACGGCGCGCGGAGCATGCGGAAAGGCCGCGATGTCTTTTTGTGCGGAGCGCGGCGTGCGCTAGAAAGAGGTCGCGCCCGTCGCAGTCCTTCGCGCGACCGTCGAGTGAATGCGTGAAGGTGGTGGGCGCGATTCGCTTCTCGTGCCACGCATTGCATCTCTCACGTCTCCGCCGTCCTCTCCTATTTCAACGCCCTTTCCCATTCCGCTCGCCCCATTCGCCGTTCCCATTCGCCCTCATCATGCTTCCGCTGGTCCCCATTCGCCCTTCCATTTCGCCTCGGGGTGCATGTCGCTGCTTCCCGGTCTTCTTTTCCTCGTTTTATTTTGTTGGTGGATGGGCGCCCTCCCCATTGGGGGGTGTTTTGTTTGCCTTATTTTGTGTCCTTTATGTTTCCGCCCTCCCCATCCGCCTCCCATCCGCCTCCCATCGCGTCGTCCATTTTAGATTCCATTCCGGCATCTCCATTCGCTCCCATTCGCCTCCCATTCCTCTCTTCCGCCTCTCCTACACCCTTCCTTCCACTGCGCCCACTCCGTTGTTCCCTTCGCATTCGTGGTTCAACTTTGCTTTCAACTTTCAGCCTGCTGACACAGGATGAAGTTTGGGGAACCTCATTACACTGTAGGAATGATACAGTGGTTTCACAGCGTTGAACATCTATGTATAGGGTAAATAGATATGAGCGTTGTTTGTCGTGTTTATTTTTCATAACGGCTTTTGGTTGCATTGTTGACCTATCTTCAGTGCCTAACGAATAATGACAAGTATTTAAATTATCCTATACAATTTTTGTCTTTTCACATGATATTTATTTGGATTTTTGGAAAATAGAATTTAGCCCAAGAAAAAATTAATTTAATATGCTGAAAATAGATATATAATTTTTGAGAAAGCAAATCACTTAAATTGCAAATATATTCTTTTTTTGAAGGGCTGTCCGGAATAAGTATGCAGTTTGCCAAAAACACAATTTTACTAATAGAAAACATAATATGTTAATAGGATAATAGCATAATTTTCATCTTTAATGCCTCTGAGGAGCTATGGGCCTTCAGTGAGTGTTATTCAAGCTTCCATCCAATGGCTGGTAGAAATATTTCATATTTTGTTATGCGTGGTCTTACATATAATAACTGAGGTGTATAGGGGAAAGGGGATGTATTCATATTGTTTTCAAAATTAAATCTAGGTATGACTAAGTTTCAAGCTGAATGCCATTATCCATTTCTCAGAATAGATGAAGAATAAGGAGGTTGATATTATAATGCTTATACTATCACTAGTGATGATTCAATATCGTGTCCAACATAAACACTAGTGAATCTTGAGAGACAGCTCATGAACTAGACTCTTCCTGTCTGTTTACGAATTTAGAGTTGCAACGCTTCTAATTTGACAAGGTTACGCGTGCACATCTTCCATATCGTCAACCTACCGCCAACAACACAGAATTTCCGATTTTCGGGTTTACAAAATTAACTTTAGTACTCTCGTTCTGCATAAAGTTTAACATATTTTTTCGGAAACATACTAATATGCGATAGATATCGAAGTATGTCGAAGTTTCACAGATAAAGATACTTTTAAACTGCGGATAAGCTACGAGATTTAGCGACTAAAATTCGAGAGTTGAAGTTTGCTTCCAATTCCAATTCTATTCTCTTATAACTATATAGTAAAGGAAAATTAATAATATTGCAGATATATTTTTACTGTATTGAATGTGTCGTAAGCCGTTGTTCTTTTCAATATTTAACATTTACGAGTAATGCCTGGGGGAAATAAATTATTGATAGTGCTGAGCACAAAGTGTGTTATTTCCATTTTAGGGATACTCTCCTCAGGCTCTTTGTTAATGTGTTGCTAACTTCGGAGTTATTGGTTAGCAGCTCATAACTCACGCTCCAGATCAATGGACGTGTTTCAAAAGTAAGGGTTGTCACAAAGTATTCCGTGGATGGCAGTAATACATCCTTGAAAACACACAGTCGATGCACAGCCGACATTACATTGATGTTGACTATCTGTATTTTCATGAAAATTGTGAAATTACTATTACAGAGCTACGGAATATTTTCGTCATATTACTGGAAGAGAAGAGTGCACACGATGTACATATCTCGATGATTAAGTATTGGTATGTGCTTGAATCTTGATACATTTTTACGGTTGTATCTATTGTACATTCTAAGTCTACCTACATTATATATCTCGACATATTGGTGCATAAGTTTTATTATCTAGCAATAAACATTTGAAAACTGTACACAAATAATGTTCATGAAATTGTTCCTAAAAATTGTCTATCTCATTTGGGTAAGCAAACAAATCCAGATAAAATGTTAGTATGAATCTATGATCATCAAATATTATTACATTATTTGTGTGTAGCAATAAATGACATAAAATATAACGATATGTTCAGTAGATGCTGCTTTTTTTGGAGAGAAGTAGATCCGAATATGTTAGTGAAACGGCGTGGGAAAGACATTTCGAATAGGCTCGTTCTCAACTAGCCAAGGTCTAAAAGCATGTCTGGACGAGCGATATTTAACCGCAGTGCTCTATGTGCTTGTTCTCTTGGTCCCCGTTTCTTTCTTCTATTCCTTCCGCTCGATCATCATTCTATGCCGCTCCTGCGTCTGAGCGGAGTGATTGGAGAACCCAATCGCTTGGAGCATAAATTTTTCGCCCCAGACTTCCAATGGGTCATGTTAGGTCTCAAGAGCGCGTAATCATGGATCCACAGAGAAGATCTGGTGTGCATAGTAATCACGTCTTGCGAATTGAAATGCCGGCATTAGCCGCGAAAGCATTTTCGCATCGGGTTTGTACCATCATAGTCTCGGCAAGTCTCAAAAGTGGAAAACATTTTTGTCTACTTCTGTCAATACACGTAATTTTTTGTCTAATATCTTGAGTAATATTGTTTGAATTATCATAAAGTTGTAACTATTGATTTATTATTGTTTTATGTTAAACAATGTATAATTCTCTTTGTGGTCTGTTAAATAGTTGGCTATTTACGCATTTAATTATTAGATTTGGGTTTGACAGGGCGACTTGATAATTGGGGAATGTTCGTAAAGGCATTAAAAGGCTTTGTGTATTTCAAAGTTTGTTATCTACCGATCGCCTATTAATACCGCTTGCCCTTCAGCTAGTGTTGAATTCAGTGCTGGCTGGTTAGGTAATATTTTTCTGTGCGCCGGCAGTGTCTGATCTGGTAATTTTTCGTGGTTTCTCCGACTCAACACTCGAGGTGAATGTCGGAGTCACGATAACCTAACAATACGGACGCCGCGGCGGGAAATTCTCATTCAACTGCACTTCCTCTTTTGCTGTTGCTAATCTCTCAATGCATATAACATCACTTACACACACACACACTATTCTTCTTCATACCACGCGAATACTCTACACACTATTGTCGGAGGGCCGGTCGGGAGCTTTTAGATCTTTGTTTCCCATGCTGCGGTGGTTCTGCTGGTTGGAGAACACTCTCGGATAAAACCGACGGGTAAGTGGCGCTGGATCTCGCCATAGAGCGAGGGAGGAGTGCACCGCCACACATCTGCAGCGCCAAAAGAGACATGTGCACTAAACTCTTTTACAGTTGTGACTCTAGCTAGTTGAGTCCCCGGAATCAATTAAACGACAATCAATGCTTTATCGAAGAGGCACAATGTGATACATCCTCTCAGTTCGGACTGGATCCTCGTCATGCAACTGGCGAGGACTAACGGCTTAGAATAGGATAGACGGGCGCCGTTTACCCGTGTTGCCAAGAGGCGTGTGCCCTATCGCCAACTTCCGCTGCGTGGGCCGCCGCGGGTCGTAGGTCTACGTTCCCTATGTGCTGGTCGAGGCAGTGTACGCCTGCAGCTCCGGCGGCGCTGTGATCTTCGCGCAATGTCGCGCTGCAAGAAGGCGACTCGAGGCCTTTCTGGTTGTAAGATCTTCTTTCAGAGATGGAACGCGTGAGTCTAAGGACAAAGTTGCACAGCCTGATTTCAGTACTTGTTCTCACTCGAGAGGGTCGGCAGGAAATCTTTTGAGAAATGTTATTCGCACAATTGACCTCGCCGAAACTCCGGACGTAGATTGGTCCTACCTAAGGGCGATATGTGAAGTAAATTCGATATTTTTAAATCTCCTAAGTTGTAAAACTTATTAATCACTAATTTGACGTTTGAGATTAAAGGTCGATGGTGAATTTTATTTATTATACAATTGATATTCCTTGCTCTTTCTTAGTTCAGACCTGATTAGCTATCAACGTTACAGTGCAACAATAACAGGTGTGATCCTGCACATGAGAACCCATTCGCATGTCGAAATGGAAGTCTAAATGACTGGTCGCGAAGATGAAAGAATTTTGTAATGTAAATGTGTCTGGGCTTTATGCTAATTCACCGCTGAATAGTGTACTAACTGTTCGAGGATGATTGGACTTAGATAGATATGCACTGGTTGGCGATGCTGAGAGTAAAGATTGTTGTACGAAGTCTCTTTCTGTCCATAATTTAAATTGTACATAAAATATATTTATGTTATTTTTTGAAAAAAAAACTAGTTCTGATCTGAATATTATGCAAATACATTAAAGCCAATGTAATATTTTAATTAAAAATGTGCACTTTGTCTTTAAATGGATCTTCTACGGCATGATAAGTTACAAAATGTTTAATAAGGGTTGGGTCTATGTTCTGCTATGTTAGGACATCCTAGAATTTGGAAAAGTTGCCTAGTATTTGTGAAATAATGTGAGAAGGCATTATGTTCTGTAGCTGTCATCAGATTTTCAACGCAGAAAAATAAATTAGTGCAGAAATACTGCATAATCACTGAATTGACTGTAGAAGAATACGCATGGCATAGATGGTTATGAGATGTGATATGTATCGTAAGATTCAGTAAGTCAGGGTATCGTCTATCATCTCATTCATTTCTCCACTAAAGCGATGTCGACGACTCGATTGTACTGATGTGTTTACAGATTAACATATGTGA